CTTCCCCAGCACTCATCTTCTCTGTGACATCGATCTGAACCAAAAAATATTTCCAGGAATGTTCTCCTTACTGAGGTTTTAAATTACCAAAGCATCAGGCAGCTCTCCTGACCCCACCCTTCAGAAAGCTTCTAGGATATTTTGAATGACACCAGAAGTAATTACAGCTATTCATGTATTTGTATTCCAAAACAACCAGAAGTCATATTGACACAATAATTCAAAACAGCACACAGTTGAATACTCTGAAGCTCTGACAATCTCTTCTCTACACTTGGCCACTTCACACTCCTACTTCTTATAACTATTTAATTACAAATTGTTGGCCTAAAATATTTTAATCTTTATCAACAAATATATGTATCAAGCCTTTCAAATGCAGTGCAAAAGATCTTTAAAATCTGCTATCACTGTCAGGACGCTGTAGCAAAAAAACAACAAACGCTTGTCACATATTTTAAGAATCCTTCAAAAATAACGTTGAAAACATGACAATGTTGCAGAACTTTTGCATTCTGTGATGAACACAGAGTCAGTTTGTAACAGAATATATAAATTATGGTGCATTCTGAGAAGGGAGATCTCTACACAGACCTGCAGAATCTCATTTTCATGGCACTGACTGGGATTTTAGGAATTCAGATTGGACTCTTCATGAAGAGTCAAAGGATCCTACAAAAAAAAGATCCTACAGTACAAATGAGGACTAGAGGAAAATATCCAGAAAATGCAATTTTGCTGTGAAATATGGATTAAATCATAGCTGATAAATGCCACAGTGATAAAACCCTGTGACACCACGAAGTGCCCCTCAGAGAAAAGGGAGTGTCTGAAAGCAGCCAGAAGCTCCAGTGGGATGGTTTCTTCTGACAAGACTGCAAATTCTAGAAAGAAACATCCCTACCTCCTCCAGGAAAACAGGTTAGGTAGCTTGCAATCCCTGTTTTAAGGAAGCAAAAGTCTGGCTAACAGGTCAAAAAGGAAAAAGAATCCTTGGTTTAAATGTAACTTTTGTGGAAACAACTTGATGAAACTTGTATCAAAGTTAATTTCTGTAATATTTTGTATCTTTTTAAACCTGAGGCAGGGAAAATAATCCCTGGTGGCGTAGGGTCTATAGGCTCCAGGTGTTTAATTGAAAAGGGAATTTGTTGCACACAAACTCGCTACAAAAACAGCTTTAGAGAACGTGATCCAGTCCAAATCCTGTCACTGCTCATGTGAATAAAATGATCCCACTCTAGCCCTGCACCAAAACAGGGCTGGGATTTCAGCCAGTATCTGAATTTGTGGATGCTCAGCTGGATTCAGCAACTGCATCTAAAATTTAAAAGTTTGATTTGAAACATTAAAGGAGAACATTTTGATGCTCAGCTATGTCGCCCCAACCCAAAAGCATTGCAGAGGCAAGCTTTGGATTTCATTTCAGTTCATCAGCAGCATTTAAAAGGTTAATTAAGTCCACATTCTCTCTTGTTTTCAAGTTGTGATACTCATATAGTTGTGAAGTATCTTAAGAGTTTTGGAACAGAGTAAAAAGTGCAAAATAATGAATAGTTTGTAGCAATTTTATTATTTGTCCACAGCAACAGAACTGAAAGTCTGTATTAAAACTCTTTTGGAATATGGTGAGTTTCACATAAATCATGCATATGAAAGCAAAAATACTTTAAAGCAGTTATTTACCTTTCCTAAAATAAAATAATTTAGGCTGCCATCCAGCACTTTTTCCCAAAGGAAACTGAAGCTGGCTGGTAAAGAGGGCAACACTGGGACAGATTAATTTCTTGACATTTTGGTCNTTTTTTTTTTTTTTTTTTTTTTTTTTTTTTTTTTTTTTTTTTTTTTTTTTTGGTTGGTTATTTAAGGACAGTGCCTGAATGGGGTCTTCTCTTCCTCCAGAGTTTCAAAGGGGGAATGACTTAGACCACAAGGAAAGATGAAAGAGATAATGACAAGGATTCTCTCTGTTGGTGTCACTCCTGATGTTATCAACACCATGGTTCCCATTTTGCATTCAGAAATGTTTCTCTAGGTGTTCTGAATGAGTTCTGCACAAAAACTCCTCTCCTTCCACGTTGGGTTTTGTGTTGATTCACTGCTAAGAGTGGGAATAGCAAAGGCACAGCTGAAATCCTCAATTCCTAGCAGTGCTCCAGAGAGAAAAATGAGACATTGCTGGGTTTTAACTCTCCTCATTACTCCCTAGAAGGAAAAGTTATATTTGCGCTGCCTCTAGGCAAAGTCCCATCCCACATGAACAAAAGACTGAAGCTAAGATCACATCCATTTCATCTCCTCCTGCTCTCCACAGATGCTTAAGTCCCTGACACTGTGTCTTCAGTGCTCATATGTCACAGTAAATGATTCATTAAAAATGCACAGACAGATTGATCTTGGAAGGGGGAAAAAAAAAGATCTGGAGTTTGAGGCGAAAGGAAAATAGAAATGATGAGCCAAAAGGTGAAAAAGGGAAACACTCCCAAAATTCACATGAGAAAGACATTTAAAAATAAAGAGGAGACAGCAACTGTGCTGACATTTAATGTGTCTGCTTGGGATAAAACTCATCCTTTTACTAGCAATAAAACAACAGCCTAGCCCAAAGCCCTTGAAGCATTTTGCATCAAGTACCTCATAAAAACGGTTGGCAATTTCTCCTAAGGTCTGTAGAATATCTACACCAAACTATATAATTTTTTGTGTGTGTAATTAAATGGGAGCAAATCCCCAGTGCAGGTAGGAAGATCTCCTTGATCCCAGCACCAACACTCATTGCAGACCCCTGGCCATGCTGAAAAGTGGCGAGGAAAAGGCAGGAATGAGCTCTCCTTGTGGTGCTGATAAGAGTAACCCCACAGAATGACTGGGTTTGCAAGATTTCCTGGATGGCCAGAAGGATTTGCTCTGCCAGAGGAATCCTGCCAGCAAAAAGCAACCCCTGCCTAAGGATAATAAGCTCCTTGAGTAAGAGACACCTCCTTGCCATGGCAAATTCTCTTATATAGGTGACACATTTATTCTATTTTTATCAAAAACAACCAGTAAAATAGAAATATGGACAGTAATTTACACTCTTTCAAAAAAAAAAAAAAAAAAAAAAAAACAACAACACTGACAACTAAACCAAATCCTTGCAATGGGAAGTACATATATAAATATATATTCACACACACACCAGCAATATTTTTAGCTATGATTTCCTACTCATGTGGCAACATGACCAGTGTTCTGAAGAAGCTGAGCCAAGTGAAAACACAACCTGCAGAACAGGTCACGTTTAAATATTCTGCTATTGAAGAATATTAAAAACTACAGATTAAGTAGGAGTGTTGTAACACTTAACATTAATTAACGCTTGTAAATCACTCTGAAATACTTGGATAAAAGATGGTATAAAAGGTGTTGCCACATGTCTTGATGCTTCTAGATGTGCACAAGCCCTGACATCTTATTTTGTGTTTGGGAGATTTCAAATCATAAAAAAAATATGGTCACTGGATGAATTTAATGTTGGGAAGTGTTGGGACACGACAAAGAAACACCAAGGTTGTCTGATTAAGAACTCAAGCAGACACCTCATTGTAAAAAAAACTGAAATAGATCAATTCCTTGGATCCTGGTGGAGCACCAGGTCTAGTTACTGATCTGTGAGTTACAGCTTAGCAGTGTGGCTAAGCCTTGACTTGGCTGTATATTCATATATGTGAAATACAGATAATTTTCCTTCCAGTTTAGTAACACC